CTAACTTGGCAGTGCTAGTAGATTATATTACTGATAATTTTGCCCAAGGCCATAAAACTCATGTAATTTATACTGATCTATGTAAAGCGTTTGACACTGTCAATGTCCGAAGGCTTCTTTTCAAATTAAAAGCTTATGGTCTGATGGGTTATATTTTGGATTGGTTCCGCTCTGCTCTAACAGACAGAAGACAGCATGTCAAGATCAACAACTTTCTTTCTAATGAATTTCTTGCTCCTTCTGGCGTTGGGGCAGGATCTCATATGAGTGCTCTTTTATTTATAGTATACATCAATGATGTTGGTTTTGTTATTCGATTTTGTAAAATTTTGCTTTTTGCTGATGACTTTGAGCTTTATAGATCAGTTCTTTCCCTACAAGACTTTTATTTCATTCAGTCAGATATTATTAGTGTTACACTTTGGTTCCTTATAAATGGTTTGTCCTTTAATATTGGTAAATGTGGCTTCACGGTGTTCTGTAGAGGGTCACCTCTCTTTGAGACTTATTCCTATCATATTAATAATGAAGCCATTTCCCATCTTGATAATGTGAAAGATCTTGGGAGTTATTTTTGATCCTAAGTTACTTTTTAATGACCATGTTGATTGATTTTTGGTAAAGCTTTTAGAAAATTCTATTTTTTTAGAAGAGCTGCCTCGCCTTTCCAGGATGTTCAGTCTCTTCTCACTTTGTTTAAGTTTTTAGTGCTACCAATTTTAACTTATGCTTCTCCTATTTGGTTCCCTCATACTTCCCATAACATTTGTAAACTTGAAAAAGTTCGACACAGTTTTTTAAAGTTTGCATCCTATCGCACTAATAGCCCCTTAGGAATCCATGATCATTTTTATGGAGATATTGCTAAACATCTGAACTTATGCTCCCTAGTCTTTATGTGGCGTTATTATGATCTCATGTTTTTGTTTAAATTTGTTAATAATTTTATTGATTCTCCTACTCCTCTTAGCTACATTCATTTCCATGTTCCTCCGAGATCTTTGCGAAATTTAAATTGTCTATTTGTTATCCCCTCACATATTGTCATCTGGAAGCATAGATCTGTTATTCCCAGAATTTCAGATTTTACAAATAGCTGTATGGAATGGATCCAATTTTACAGCCTAAGTATCTCAAATTTTAAGTCTTTGGTGAAAGAACGAGTTCTAGTTATTTATTAGTCACTCTCTCTTTGCCCGTTTTGTTGCCTTCGTTTTTATTTAAGTGTTATGTAATTGGGACTTGTCCCGTTGAAAGTGAAAGAAAGAAAGAAAGAAAGAAATAAATAAATAAAGTAACTCGATTTTCAGTTTTTCAAATTCATTTCCTTTCCTCTCTTTGGATTGAAAATATCCAGGAATATCCCGTATCCTAACTTCCTGTAGGTTTCTCAGTTAAAAAGGAAAATCATTACAAACAAAATAACAGGATATAAACCAACTGAGATGCCTTTTCGAAAGATACACTCGGTACTTGCATATTGCGAGAAGCGTAAAACAATCGATGAATATACACACAAAGTTGGGTTCGAACCCAACATGCAACTATTTTAACTTTTCGAAGGGCCGGGTTGCATACGCCTGATTTTGCAGGCGATATCTAACATCTGCCTAGGTTTTCGTGATAGGAATGGGGAAAGTTGCATTTATTCGAATTTACACCCTCCTCTATTAATTAAATAACGGAAGATTTAAATGTTCAGTTTTTTACAGGTAAAAAAATCAGCTTATCTGGTATGGTCATACTTGGCTGATGGTGGATGACAGACTGCCTGCGGAGGTTTTATATAAAATGGTTTCCTCTTAGAAGAAAATGTATAGAAGACGCTCAGCAAAATCTTGGATACGTAGCATTCAAAATGAAATCACAAGGAGCTATTTACCAGATGACCTCTGTCCCGATAGACAAGGCTGGCAATTAGGTGTAGCAGAGCGCCCGGGCGCGCTGTAAAGGCGACAGGTAAATAATAAAAAAAAATGCATCATGATCATTGAGCATTGATTTTATGGTTAAAGCGACTGAGAGCAATTTTTTGTTGATTAACTAATTAGGAATCAAAAGATTTGTTTAAAATAAAGCAATGTCATGTTGTCAAATAATATTTAAGTAATTTTCTTTAAAAGTAGATAAGCCTCAAGATATTTTTCCGTTCTCTGCATTAAACCCGTTTCATGATCGTGATTTTTCATAACATATCAACAATGTAAGTCGGCAATCACATAACTAGGTTTGCGACGTCGCAAACTTCCTGTAATACTTTATTTTTATACAGAAAACTACTCATCGGCAATTTCTTAAAACTGCCATGATTTTTCATCTTTGTGTGAAGAAAATTCTGCAAAAACTTCAAGGGATGATGTCAATTTATTCTCCTTTAAAAAATATCATAGAGGCGGAGAATTTCAGACACCGCAAACAAGATACATTGTTGCAGACTTGAGCCATCGATATAATAATTATAAGGTACCTATTGTGTTAAATATATGAAAAAAATGAGCTGGCATAAACAGTTGAGGAAATTTGAAAAGGAGTGGTAGTATGACGTAGAAAAAGTAAATGCCATTGCACTCATGCATCATTTCAGTCTGATGGACGAAAACGAAATGCGAGAAGATGTGGCCGAACCAGAGCCACCATCCCTCGGTCCTGGACAAGACTTTGAAATCGCGGAGGTTGAGTGAATTCTTGCCGGCCGTTGAATCAACTCTAAATCACTGATTTAGAGCGAATGCTCCATCTGTGGATAGTTAACTCAAGATTTCACTTTCATCAGAAAAAAGACCGATCCAAGGTCCTGATTTTCACCGCACGTGTTTCACATCCCCTCACGCCTCCGGAGGGGTTGACAGCGCGTTACTCGTTCCGATTCCCGTCCAGATTTCAATACTGAAGGAATTCCCGGTACAGTCGCCTCTTGATATCTGAGGCCGAGGCAACCCGGATATGAGCTATTGCGGTCTCTGGTCTGCAGTTACCTTCCTGAATGGTCGTTACTAATGTTGCACCAAACATCGTATCTCTTTGAGGGAAAATTGTGTTGTGTGTGAGCTTTTTCCCTCTGCATTGAGATTTTCAGCTTTATGCTGATTTTTAACGCACGTTGGCTGAAAAAATTCCAACATACTGCAATCTTTTAGGTCCTTTCACTGCTATTAATTGGTTCATAGTGTGAATTTTCCTACAGACTTAGCTGTTCAATTTAAATGCATCCACAATTTACCATGTATTTTGTTCCCAACCAAAGAGATGGTTTGCAAAATCTGAACCAGAACACTGATCGTGAGTTGATTTTCTTGTAAAAATTAAGCATTCCTTGAGAAAGATAGAAGTTTCCGAAAATCAATACTATAAGCTGAGAGGCCTCCTAATTTTGCGTGACTGGTAACGCTTAGTTCCAGCGTTCTACTAAGCCGATTTTCATGATTTATGCGGCTATCCACGGGCAATTGTCTCTAGATGAACCCGCTCTATCCAGATTTTCAAAATATGACCCTGGTTTTCTTATATTACGTGATAAAGTTGCGAATTCTCCCATTTAAACAATGTAAATTTATATTTTTTGTCATAGTTCGTTTGAGCGTTCTACAGAGCCGATTTCCATGATTTTTGCGAGTTTTGACAGGTGATAGGCCCTAGATGAGCCCGCTATGATCAGATTTTGGAAATAAGGCCCAGGTTTTTTCACGATCACGTTACAGAAGTGAGCGAATTCACAGACTGCTCCGCTACTGCTGCCTCTATGGGCAGAAGGTTGCGCAGTAGCCATGTAGTCTGAGCATTAGCTCTAATCTATGAACAGAAGATTCATCAGATTAATAATCAGCCATGGTGATGGCCGAGTCGTCTAAGGCGTCCGATGCGCTTCCATGCTGTCCTGATATGCAGATTCGAATCCTGACATAGAATCTTAATTATTAAAACCTGTAAATCATCTGACGTTGTTTCACTGCAATGATTCATTGATCAATCATTGTGAAACGCATCCTTTTGACTTCAAATTTTTCTTCTTTTTTATCAAAAACAAAAATCATTTCCTTCCTAAAAGGAAAATATTCCTAATAACATATTTTTTTACGGGAAAAATAAAACCAATAATGATAAGAAGCTAAACGAGAAAGACGCAAAGATATAAATCGGAAACAAAAGAAAATAAAAAAAAAATATATAAATGGATAAATTAAAAAAATGAAACTAAAGGATAATTAGGACAGCATTGATAGTCTATTAGGCTCTCACTACTTCAGTCATGAAAGTTTTGCCGAGATTTGTTTAACAAATTTTACCATGAAAATATGAATTTTATTAACGCTGCGGCAACAAAAAAGGGCCGCGTAGCGGACAGGAGACGTAGCCCCTTAGTTTAGAATATTTTGCTTTTCAGAAGAGTATCAGTTTCTGCGCCATTCTGGTCACCAAAAGAGTACTGCTCTTTCTACTGGATGATGCCTGACTGAAGCCTTCCCCAGAGATCTGTAAAAATTTTTCTACAAGTTTTGACTAACTTGATTGCGCCAAGAATAGATGATACACTTTTCATGCGGTTCTGAGGAGAGCCTCTAAAAATACACATGTTTAAAGGATCGACTAATAAAAATCAAACTTGTAAGAAGTCAATTCAGAGGCAGTAAGAAGAAATCAAGGGGCAAAGTATACTTATTGTCCCTCTTAACACGGGCTCCGGGCAAAAATATCACAAACAAATTACTTGTACTTACAAGGTGGAGAAATGGTGCTGGGTCCATACCATTTCACGGGGAAGACGAAGCCGAGAAATTCCAAAAATTATAATTAGATATATAAAAAAATAAATTACAATTAAATTTTTTAAAAAATGTATTGTACTGGTACTCATTAGAATTTAAAAAAATTATTTTGGACTCTAATTATAATTTTTGGAATGTCTCGGCTTCGTTTGCCCCGCGAAATGGTGTAGACCCAGCCCCCTTTTTCCACCTCGTTTCATGGCCACTTCTTGGTGTTTTTTTCTCATTTGTACTTACATTTACAGACTCGAAGTTAGGCTGGAACCTTGGTTGTTTCATCTCTTGCGGTGACTGAATAACCGTCTGCGGAGATGGTTGAGGGTTTTCGGCACCGACCTACAAGGAGGAACAAGATTCACGACGATCAGATTCCTCTTAAGAACATTAGACCAAAATGGCTCTTAGTACCTCATCCTTGATATGTCTTGCCCTTTCAGTACTTAATCCATATTACCATATTGTTTACCGTATTTCCCACTTAAAAAATTACTTTTTAGAGAAGCTTCAAATTATCTGTGCTTTTCATTACCAATTCTTCAATTTACAAGTACTTCATATTTAGAAAGGGACAGCATTTTGTTCCCAAACACACGCTAAATAATGTGCATTTGACATGAATGGTTTTCTTAATGCTCCTGATGATGAGAAAACTGGAATTGGACTTTAAAGAATCAAACTTGCGATGCACTATTACAGACCATAGTAAACAGAGTCATGAGAAGTGGAATATCAAAGCAAAGTTAGCATACAAATCTATCTCCAATGTTGATATCAATTTTACAATTGAAAGCGGAACGAACCTTTGGAGGATTGATCAAACGACGGAAGAAGTAAATTTCATCTTGATAAACTTGCGGAGAATGAGTGTACTTCTTCATTCCTTGATCTGGTAATTCTCTTACTTGCCGCTTGACTTCATCATACAGAGACTCACAAATGTACACTTCTGATTCAGGTATTTCAGTTGGACGGCCTGTAAAACAAAAATCCACACAGTAGAGCCTTGATTTCATGTATCCTGATATAATTTTTTCCCTCCCCCCCCCCCTTTATTTATTCCTCAGCGAAACATATACATATTATAATGATTTGGTACTCAAAAAGATGACATAGTTATAACAAAGAAAACAAAAGAGACTTTGAGATAACGAGCAAACACATTAAAAAGGCACTATTGCAAAGAAATGGTCAAAGTGCAAGATTAAAGGTTACACTCTTAAATGATGCTCATTCAACAGTTTGAGGAAGCCTGGGTCTGCTGTTTGGCAATTCAATGGATCCTGATATGAAGGATTTTGCGATTAAATAGATCAATCTAGGGCTGTTCTATTGGTTGTCAGTAAGCTACCGAAACAGTTCCGTCAAGAAAAAGTTACGATAAGAGCGTTCTTACCGATAGCGATCAGAGTTTTCGGAGCTGACGAAAATAAGCTGTTGCCATTTGTATACCGGGTGTCCGTAAAGTAACTGAAAAGTGGGTATAATTTTTGAACAAAAAAAGATAGAAGCTCGTGGTTTGTGGCATTCTTCATCATCCAGAGGGGGAAATTTTTCGATGGGGGGTTTTTCTTGGTGGACCCCCCTCGGGGGCCCCAAGGGGGAGGCAACTTTCAAAATTCAAATAGCAACCCCCATTTCTTTAGACATGGTTGAAAAGAACTTAAAAAGACAAGAAAAATGACGCAAATAAAATTAAAATCGGTTCACTCGTTCAAAAGTTACAGCCGGTCAAAATTTTAAATTGACCACTTTTCAAAAAATCACCGTTGAGCTCCCAATTACCGAAAAAACAAAAACAAACCTGGAATGAAAAGTTTGAAAAGTGCCCTTTAAGGCAAAAAAAAACAACTGACGTTGTCACAAGTTTGGATGGCATTGTTTCAAAATAAAATTTCGGAAAATTCAACATGGCGACAAATTTGAGGAAAAGCGAATAATGAAAATTCCAGAAACTGTTATCTTTCAAATACCCTCTAGTTTAAGGATATCAATGGTATCAACTTTTTTTCCTTTATTCGGCCAAGTAAGAGCAATAATTTACTGACTTTAAAGTTGTCAAGCGGGACGCCTTCAATCGTTGGAGTATGCGACATCACATGCACAGGATTATGTGTGCTGTCAAAAAATGAAGCCGATGTGAAAAAACGCTCCTCCTTTGGGATGCTTTAGTAATGTTCAAGGTCCTCATCCTCAAAAAAGAAGAAAAGAAAAATTGAGCAATTTTTTTATTATTATTATTTTTTAAAGTGGAAATTTTTATACCTGATGCTCTGTTATTCCGTCAAATCTTCAAAGTGATCTTCATTTTACTGCAAACAATAGTAAACTTACAATAGTAAATGCCAACTAAATCAGAACGCAGTATGATCAAGAGAACTTAGCATACTGATTTCAGATTCGTAAATAGTGTTACCGATCAGATATTGCATCAGATATTACCTAAAATATCGGTTCCTCAAATCGTGAGGTTGAGGCTGTCAATAAGATAATCTCAACTCAGATAATAATCAAGAGTAGAACGGCGTTTTCGGAATTGAAAGCGTAGCAGATATCCTTCTTGCCAACTTGGAGTGCCAGGAATCAGAGAATCACAATTATTCTTGCGTTTTCAATTTTCAGATAGAGAAATGTCAAAAATGTCAACCGCCCCTACCCCATCAGGATATACCATGTTTTTTTTGGCTCACCAAGTTTGTGGGTAAAAATTGCTTAATTCCTCTTTTCTTCTTTTTTGAGGATGAGGACCTTGAACGTTACTAAAGCATCCCAAAGGAGGAGCGTTTTTCCACATCGGCTTCATTTTTTGACAGCACACTTAATCCTGTGCATGTGATGTTGCATACTCCAACGATTGAAGGCGTCCCGCTTGACAACTTTAAAGTCAGTAAATTATTGCTCTTACTTGGCCAAATAAAGGAAAAAAAGTTGATACCATTGATTTCCTTAAACTAGAGGGTATTTGAAAGATAACAGTTTCTGGAATTTTCATTATTCGCGTTTCCTCAAATTTGCCGCCATGTTGAATTTTCCGAAATTTTATTTGGAAACAATGCCATCCAAACTTGTGACAACGTCAGTTGTTTTTCCTTGCCTTAAAGGGCACTTTTCAAACTTTTCAAAAATCTTAAAAAGGCGGAAATACATACATACATACATACATACATACATACATACATATATCTATACATACATATATATATACACATGAATTTGAATGGCATTTATTTTCGTGATCTACGACCCGTGATCGGTGCTCTTCACAAGGTCTCGGGTCTGGGTCCGACATCATGGGAGAATGCAATAGTGTATTTTCTTCGGAAAATACACTAAAAAAAACACGGTAAAAACGAAAATTTGAGATTTTGGAAGTTCAAACCTCATGTTTTCAATGAAAGTGTTGTCTTATGGAGCCAGGATTTTTTCCTCGTCATTTGATGCCAAAAGGCAACTCACCTTCACTAGGTACCCGTCATCAGATTTCGAAAAAAATGTTTTTCGAATGATGAGCCATGAAACGCAATCGCCGAGAATCCCGGCGTTCCGGCCATCATCTAGCACTTACCCTAACTGAAGAATGGTCAGTATACGCTGCTTTGTGGGTAAGTGCCTTGTGTATAAAAGTTTATGTGAGCACTAATTTACTTATGCATTAAAGCTTTTGCCTATGTATCACTAATTAATATAATTTGATACAATTAATGTTAAAAATTACCAAGTTTTTCTCAGAAATCGAATGAAAAATCGATATATCGATTAAATACAACGATATATCGTTGTGAAAACAGTAAAATCGATTTCTCGTGAAAAAATACGTAGGAAAACATGTGCTTGATGATGCAATTGCGTGTTTGAGGGCACCTCCACCGACCCGAATGAGAAAAAACCTGATTTTTTAGGCATTTTAATGATGCAAATACTCGAAGGGCTAGAGCGCCATGTTCCCATTGGAATTACCGCTGCGGACAATTTTTCCCGTAATCTACATGCAATTTGGCCACCTTTTTTCCCTATTCGGTTTGTATAGCGCTCAAGTCGGGAATTTCGATCACCCCTAATGAACAGCAGATGAAGAACGAACAGAAATTTTGGAAAATCAAATGAAATACGATTCTGGATTCGGTGTTGATCTTTCGAACTGTGCAGACGTGTTTTGTAGAGCGCTCGTGAGACGGTAAAGCTTTTGGTTCGGCTCGCGGCCCGGGCATCGCGGCGCGCAGCGACCGCGAGATAACGTAAACAAAGTGCGGTTACGGCCGAAACTTCTATGTCGCTGTTGCCACACAAGTGTAAACATGGAGTGTATTGTTTTTGGAGAGACGATCAGTTCATCGGCTGTCAAAAATGCTACATCAGAGGAAAACTTGACTTCCTGAAATTGAGTCCAGCAAGAGTGAAAAATATGACGGATAAAAATCCGTTTGAGAAGAGTTCGCTCCTTTCAAGATCGCCCCAGGGGACAACCACGAGGACGAATACCGATGATAAAACAGATGATATAGCCACACCAGTATCAGTTGAAACATCGAATCAGACTCACCCTGAAATTTCAGTCAAGGAAATATTGGAAAAGGCTGAGGTGGTGATCAAAGAGGGTATTTCCATCACTCACAATGATACGAAAGCCATAAATCAGATGCAAGGCCTTAAAAGCACGATTGAAGGACTTGTTAACATCGTTAAAAAAGAGGAAGAAAAAAAAAAAGAAGAACAAAAAAAAATAATTGATGACCTTCAAAATAGATTGCTCGCGCTTGAAAAAAAGGAGCAAAGACATTCTGAAACTCGGAGAGAAATCCCCCAGCCTCAAGCAACCTACTCAGGGAAGTACGCAATTCTTAGCAATGATGGAGAAAACAACGAGGATGATCCAATGGATGATGAAGACCCAGAAGATCAAATCGTGGAAGAAGAAACTGACTGGATACTTTGCAAGCAGAAGAGGAAGAGAAACGAAGGAAGTGACTCATCCCCACAAACAACTCAGGCTAAGAAAGGAAGGAAAGCGGATACAGCGCGGTCCGGAAGCAGAGGAAGTGCCGAGAAAGTCGCCACATCTAGTAAAAACACCAATGGTTCGTTCAATAGCTCTAATGATAAAGATAAAAACAAAGGTACTAAAAATACTGAAAATAAAAAGGAAAATGAGGTGAGCAAGAAGCTAGTTCCTCCTCCATTTAAGGTTACCCAATTAAAATCAATCAGCGAGGTTAAAAAATTTGTTGAAAACATCGATTCTGATAAGTATAAATTAACAGCATTAGTTGGCAACGTCTGGAAAATTAATACTGCAGACCACGAAACTTATAGATTAGTTAGAGAAAACCTTGAAAAACATAATGCTAAATGGTACACATTTTCAGACAAACATCTTCGTCCAAAGATTTTTGTAGCTAAGGGGATGCATTCTACCACTGATCTAGACGAAATTACAGAGGATCTTACATCCAAAGGTTTTAATATTGTTAAAGTTGTTAATTTGCTAAGCAAAAAAGACGAAAATGGGAAGAGGAAAGGTCTTCCATTACATCAAATCATATTCGATAACAATGATGATACTAAGAAAATCTTTGAAATTAAATTTATAGCACATCAGAAAGTAGAAATCAAAAATGTTAAGCACAATCCGGCAAGGATTCCTCAGTGCCACCGTTGCCAGGGGTTTTTGCATACTCAAGCATTTTGTCATAAAGATCCTAAGTGTGTTAAATGTAGTGGACCTCATTTGAGTTTCTTATGCGCTGAGAAGAAAGTGGATAGTCCAAAATGTGTGAACTGTGGTCAAAATCACACAGCAAATTATTCCGGTTGCGAGATCGCTAAGTTTTTCAAAGAACGTAGGCTGGCAGATTTAAACAAGAAAAAACAAAAAAATAGTGGTAAAGAAAATTCAGGAAATAAATTAAGTCAGAGACCAGTCAGCAAAAATGTATCTTTTGCTAGAATGGCTAGCGATGGTAAATCCAACGATAAAGA